TTTCTCCTATAATATATTTTCCTCCAACACCTGTGCGCGAGCGAGAGTGGGTGTAGTACGTATAATTAATGGCTTACTTATGAGCCGTTAGCCAGGGATCATTGAGCTTTTCGATGGCAGCCTCAAGGCCGGCAGACTTCAGAAACGCACTACAGGGATTCACACGGAGAAAACAGAGAGAGGGTTCGTGCCTCCGCGTAATAACGCCAATTCCACCGAAGGGTGCGGAACGTCATGTTTCTTGTCCGCTATGGCTTTCTAGTATCGTTCCTATTTGTTCGTATCAAGCTCGCCCGATGGCCAGTCGCTCAGAGCTGAGTGTGTGTCACACTGTTCCGGAAAGTTTTTTTCTCGAGTAATTTGGCTGCTCCTCGTCTCGCTGACGTTTTGAGTGACACGTTCTGGTACAGCCTTGTGGTAAATTCGCCACGAAAGCACGTCCCAACAGAGACCAAGTCCGCAAAGAACCTGACCGGAAGAGGAGCAACATTGAGAACGAAACGCTCCGTAGAGGAAGTAGCTACGAAAAAGTCCGTCTTCACACCGTCCTCTTGCGTCCACGCAGTCGAGCGCTTCCGCGCCCATCCTCGCTGTGCGCCTCGAGCTCTTGGACGTCTCGAGCCCTCCGAGTCAGCTTGGACGACTTTTCTGAGGGAACGATCACATTTGCCGACTTCGAGTGTGGCGACACTGCCGTCACGCGAATTCGAGTACAACACAGAGTATCACACAGACCTGACGAGATGGGGGCCGTCAGAGGTCTAACCAAGAGGCCAGGTCGGGTCAACTGTGGCTCATACGGGTGCGTTGGATTGCCTCCCGTGTATCCGAAGCTCGAGTCTCACCGGTATCGCAGCCACTCGTGAATTTCATCGGCGGATGGGGAGAAATCACAACGAATCGATGGACCAGCGAGTGATTGAGATATTTCATCTAGAGATTCAGTGATTGTCCACATGGAATCTGAGCGCATTCCCGAAGTAGAATCTCCGAGTCTGAGGCGTCGTTCTCTTGGGATTAGACAGGTGCCAATCTCTCGCCCCGACATACTTTATGGCGGTGAGCTCCCGAGAATCGCTCGGATGTCGCTGGGTACGGGGCTCGCGGAAGAATCTCAGACACCCGTCAGGCAGTACCCTGGCGGGACGCCTTATCGGTCTCTTTTGTTCGACCTTGTTCTCCGTTGTGAAGTGAAAATTTCCGAGAGACAGTGATCGAATGCCACGATCGACAACGATGATCACCGTAACGTATCAGTCGCCCCCCATCGCATATGAGCTGCACGGCGGCCGCTCGTAAGTTTCGGTCATGAAGGCATGACGTCGTATTCGGCGAAATCGTTCCTCGCGTGGTTCCCGCGATAACAGTCTCGCTCGTGACGGAAGACTCCTCGGAGGCCAGTCTGTCTCCGGTCGAGTAAGCTCACGTGCCGACCCGTGATACTCGATAACAACCGAGCTTCGTCTTGCTCACCGACTCAGACGCCTTCCGAGAACCAGATCGAGAGCTGCGAGACGCACTTCTCCACAAGGTCAGCCTCGTCCGGCGATCTGGCCGTCGAATGCGCGATTGCGCCCGTCTCGCGGAGGTTTGGGGCGTTGGCGTGAATTTTGGCCACAAGGGTCAATTTCTGATCAGCTCGAACGTTGTGATCGAGACGTTCTCGATGAGAACCTTCGAGACCGAAGATCAGTTTGCCGTCGTCCGGCCAAGATGAGATTCGCTCTCGTTCCGAGAGGGAAGTTTCACACTACCGTCTCTCTATTTCCGCCCACTCGGTTTCTTCGTCGACGGGAGTCTTCGTTCATGTGCTCGGTTTTTTCCACTGCGAATCCGAGACCAGCCGGATCGAATTGACTTCAGTGCACTTGTTGAATAATTTGATTTGGCCCGAGGAAGTGAGAGACGAGGTCGGGAAGGGAAATTCTGAGACAAGGAAGAAAATCGAGTGATCACACCCGACCTCTGCCAGCGGACATTCGAGCTCGACTCCGCTTCATTTATGGGGTCGGTCGACTGGTTGCTCGGCCGGTTCCTCGGTCCTGGAATCCGCTCGGTGATTTACAGCCAGTCAGTCGATGTCCCTTCCACCGACCACCCCTTAAGCCCTCTGCTCCGACTCTATGCGAGCGAATGTTGCCCGAGGAAAGGGAGGAGCAGCAGCAGCTTCGTAGAATTCTCCACGGATACCAAGACAGGGGAACTTTATGGAGACCATTCAAGCAGACACTAAATATTTCACCAGAGCGCCCTTTTCTTCTCGATGGTCCCTTCCCTTATGTCTAGTTCGCATTATCGCCAGGAATCTGTGAGCCCATTTGACCTAGTGTAACGTTCCCATCCACACGCGAGGCGCCTCTCTTCTGTGTTACCTATCTCCTAAGCCGCTGAATTCGATCTTCGTTGCGTCCCGAGGGGGGAAGTAGACCCCACCATTCGTATTCGCTAGGCAAGAAAATTGTGGCTCGTGACGGATAGTTATCGTCAAGGACTAAGGACCATAACGATTTTCATAATTCATCATGTACAGATTCGAGAACGTTTCGAAAAATTTGGGATTCTGGACATCGAGCATTCTACGTGGAATGAGCCACTACACTCAAAACTTTTTCCGCTAGGTATCACAAGCACTCCCTGGGTGTGGATCAAACATCGATAGCTTGAGACCGCCTGCGCTCTTGGGACCGAAATGCGCCGCCTGATCTCGTCGTTGGGGGAGTCGCGTGTTAGAGGCGCGATGTCACTTCTGCTCTGTCGGTGAAATTGAAGTAGACTTTTTCGATGTCATTTCTCACCGAGCAAGCTCTTCCGAGCTCCTTTTTAGGGGCGAGTGCTGAACTATTTCCCACTCGGTCGGCGATAGAAGGCTCCTTGCTTATCGCAAATTGAGGCCTCCGTTGAATGCGGTCGACAAAGCGTGAACGAGATTACGTGCGGCTGCAAAGTTGCGTGAAATGGCGCGGCAAGATAGCTGCGTGGAACTCGCAGCCAACAGTCTTCACTCGTTCTTACAACGGTGCCTGCTTTCCTCTTCTTTGTCGTTCCACAATTTTTCGCAGCACTCGTTCCATTTCATCGAGTAGCACTCCCTCGATCCGGGGGAGCCGTCGATGACAGACGAACCTCCCAAACATTGACAGAGCCGCCAAAAAGAGAAGCCATCGAGAGCTTCTCGGGGAAGGGGGAGTTTTCGATGACGATCCCCACGCCACGGGAAGAATCCACGAATGCGTCAGATTCTGTTCCGCAGTCTCGCCTGGAGCTTCAACGGAGCAACGCTTCGAGTGGACCTTCGCTCCCGAATTTCCTCAGGGATTTTAGCTCATGCGAGTCGGAATACTCCGCGATCCGCAAGCGGCACCGCGCCCATTTCGAGTCCTCATGATTCTCAGTGGGCAACAACGACCACTATTCGAAATCCACCACGACGATAGACTCAGGTTATGACCTGGGGGCTGGAAGGCGTCAACGTAGGCCACAATTTGATTCAGCTTTCTCAGTACACCTGAAATTCTGGAATGAAAGAGGGAGCGAATCGCGAAGCAGCCAGTTGCGCTCTGTTCTCTATTCTGGCTCCGACAGCAATCCTGAGCAGCTTGCAGGCTCAACTTCCATAACTTATGCGAAGGCGCGGCCAGGGTAACGCCTCGCCGAGCTTGAGCCTGATTCGATAAGCGTCAGACCTTCATGTTCAGTCGGATTGCGGCGCGTTCGTTCGCTTGCTCTTGTTGTTGAAGCACCCGTTTTCACAAATGTCTCCCAATTCGATTTACCCTGTGAGGCGCAATGCCGGCGCGTAATGGGATAGTTTTGATTGCTAAACTCGATTCAGGCTGGCCCGGATCAACGAATGAATAAATGGGCCAGCGATGGGAGCTCGTTGCAGGCCCCCGGCGAGCCTCTCCTTCAATCTCCTGTACCTAAAGCGAGAGCTCATCAACAGTTCGGTTTGCTAGCTTTCTCAAGGGGAAGGAGATTGAGTGCTGCTGCTGCTTCGGCTGCTCGTCGATGTGCTGCTTTCGTAATGGTGTAATACAACCTCCCTAATAGCGCGGCGCCGGCAGCGGCCCTATTTGTAGGACAACTTTTAATACGCGAGACCCCGGCTAGCCCCCTATCCTACAACCCTTCCACATCGGCTCCTCAATCCAGGAGGGGAAAGAGCTCTCTGGGCCTCCGTTCGCTTCGACCGAGAACGGCGCAGCACCCTTCAACCGGCTTCAATATAATGCTCATTTTATCGCCGGATATGTGGACACTGGGCGTTGTTCACAATTCCCATCGCGCTGATACGTCGGGAATCCGCGTTACCGAGTGGAATAGCAAGGATATCAAAGGAGTCTTGTTGAGAGGGCGCGCGATCGAGAGGATGCGTCGGCCGACGCATCGACGACGTCGACTGGAGGCTTATTGAGTCCACTTAATGAGCTTGTGTGTGAACTTCTACTTTTCACATGCCAACCAAGCGTTGCTTGATACAAGCCGAATACGAAGCCTCTCCGATCTGTCTAATAAAGCGGAGAGGCTGTCCGACGAGAATAAGGAAACGTCTTCGATTTCCGGCGCTGAAAGCTTCGAGGTGAACGAGCACACAGAACCTTGAGCGCGGGACGAGAATAAATCCTGTAAGCGTCACAGATCGTCGTTTCCCGCTCGCTCTCCGTGAATAAATTCATCGCTCTGAATGTGTGAGCCCATGAATAGCGTAACGTCCCGAAAGCGCCAAGCTCAGGAGAGGACGACGTGTTTATACACAGAAAATACCCCTAACTCCTATTCGGGATCCGATGCATCGATTCCGAGATTATTTTCCCGAGAGAATTGTCGGAGCAGGATGGAGCGTCCAATAAAATGGGCGAAGACCTCTTCCGGTGCCCGTGGACGAGCCATGGAAGTCTTTCGCAGAGTTATCCCACAAGCTCACGAAGGGCTCCGCAGCGACGCTGCGGCGAGGGTGAGCATAAGGCTTCGGCGAGGATGAGCATGAGGCTTCGCCGAGGTTCGAGAACAATTTATTGAACAAATGCGACGCTCGTCTGAATATGATGAAGAAATGTCTGGCGAAGTATAGATCGATGTACTACATGCGGGCGAACTAAAGGGGTCTGTTCAGCCTGCGTGACTCGTATTGGGGTCCGTATTTAATAGCGGCTTCCTCTCCCGTGATGGCGGATGATTGAATAGCAGCGTCTGCCGGTGCCCTGCTCTCGGTACCTGCGGTAGAAACCCATCATGAAGCAAACCGTCCAGTACTTGGAACTTTTTTGAAACGCTCACTCGCATGCACCCGCCGAGACTCACCGAGTTCGTTCGTCGAAATCGAGGGCCGGAAACCATTCTCATCAGCAACGTACGAGACTGTCCTCACCCGCCCGTCCGCGAGTTGAATGGTGTAAGAGCCCTGGAGCGACACGAGAACGTGAGAGTCGCCAATTATGGAAATATACATTTACATGATTTCGGTGAAGTCTCTTTCTTGCGGAAGAATGTGGAGTATTTTGAGAGAAATGAGATCGTAATGCGGGTTTAGAGCTCGGAGTCCTCACCTGAACTCTTCCGTTGCCATCGGATGTCTCCTCAGCGGAGTGCGAGCCTTCATCACCGGTTGCACTGTAGGCGTACTTATAGGGGATGGGAGCGTACTGCTCTTGCTGGCGAGCATACTGCTCTTGCTGGCGAGCATACAGCTGGGCGCTCTGAAATGCGAGTGAGTTCTAGTCCTGGGGACCTTGACAGACTCTGTCGAGCGAGCGCATTCCGAGCTCATAGAGGGCAAATCCGATCGGAACTTTTTTTTCGACGAATCGGCCGTGAACCGCATCCAAACAACAAAGTCCGACTGGAGGCATTTCTGGCGAATCAAGCGACTCAAACCCTGAACACAAGGCAGGAGGGAGATCGCATATCACAATCATCGAGTTCTGGTTCGGGCACCGAATCGACGAATATACTCACGGCGGCACCAACGAGAGCAATCACGATCAGGGTACGCATGTTTCCGGTGGACAAGACAATCTCTGACCATGGTTTGCACTGTGAGGGCTTTTATCACAAGAGTCCCCTCTCCAATGGGCAACCTTCGAGCCAGCAAGCGTCGTCTTCTCGAAAATGATGCCCTTATCGGACATTAACTGCGCGCGCCCCTCCGCTAGATTAGTAGTTCGGTGTAAATTTTATTCGGAATAATTCTTCATTGTTACACCGAACCCTCTCCACGAGACCCTCAGCAGGAGACGTCTTTCAGCACCGGCGAAGACGACAAAATCAAGAAATACGGCCACGATGCCGCGTTTTGAAAAGAGCGGGAGAACCCTGCTGAAGACACCGGGAGAACTTTCTTCGAGACAAGATTGATTTGTTTTACAGACGAGAACTCGCGCTGGACTGGTTCCTCGAATCCGATGAGTCAGTTTCGGAGAAACGCGCGGCTGAAAGCTTATCAGAGAATCAGGCGGGCGATCGGACAAATTACAGACGTGCTCAAATCTACGAATTCATACACCAACGGTCAGCGAGTTGGAGGATGGAGCGCGATTCGCAAAAGCCGTCGCTGAGTAACGAAGGAACGCTGAAGATCCGTTGTTGCCTCATGGACTCCGTCCCTTTCTACGTATTTATCTGCCGAACCTCTTTTCCCCGGATTTGCTTATCTATCCGAATATATAAAAATAACAACGCAAAATGATTGGCGGCACTTTCTCTATCTGTCAGACGCGAGCGCTCACTTTTGTGCCGTCAGGGAAGCACCGCCAGAAGTACCTCCGCTAATTTGCTCCGGGCCGGACCCGAGAAGAGTTCACTTTTGATTTCCTCTCTGGCTCGTTGTTCCTGAACGAACGAAGCCCTCCCATCCACAAGACTCCAAACCAAGACTCTCGTGGAGGGATTCCAGTTTTTGGTATTATCTCAATGAGCCAGACATTCATGATTTTCGGGACTGCCTGCTGGTAGGCTTGTATTCTCATCGCGGGAGCGAATCGCTTCCCGAGTTCGCTTTCAGAGACTGGGGCTGACCAGGTCTTCATGAGGCGCAGATTTCTGCATATACCGAAGGGAAATTCGACGTTGTTTATTCCCTCGAAATGGACAGCGAAGACCTATACCGCCAAGGATTCCAGAGATTCTTCCAAAACCGTCGCATCCGGAGCGGAAACATCCTGGAATAGCCGAAGTTTCCCGCATCGCTTCTTCATTCAATCGCGTGACCTTCGGTCATTTCTCGTGAACTAGAAACTTCGGACTGAGCTTCCAGAAGAGCAGGTCTAAAATCTGTGTGCACGGAAAAATCGCGATCAATCTCGCGAGGGGATCCGCAAACGGGGTAGCCGTAACGACGCTGATAATTGAGTTTTGAATGAGCAGGATTTTCAACGCTGCTTCCAAACTTCTGCGATTGATCGCTTTCGTGATCTTGTCTGCCTGTTTGGGTACATCGGCAACGATAGCGTGCCCGCCGTAGAGCCGAAATTTCGGCATCGTAGTTCACTGCAAAACGCTTCATTCTGAACCTGAGGCAAGATCGAGGACTGCTGCGCCAGAAGAACGATCTGCTCCCCACGGTGCATCAAACAACAGATACTGCAGTACCAGTAAAATACCTGGAAGTGCCGTGAGGGCCATCTATCAACTGGATATCGGAAAGAAGGCTATCGCCTAATCGTAACACGCACAGATGTTCCGAAGAAGCCCGAAATCCCTTTCCACGAGGTCATCGAGGCGATTTTTAAGCGGATCAAAGAAGCGAGTCGTCCGCGTCCGATGCGGGGGCCGCGTGGTCGAGCCGTGACTGTTCCTAGAAGGTCCGAATCTACGAATTACTAGCTGAGATCTTTTGACAAGTTGACACGAGGGAAAGCACTCGGAGCGGCCGAGGACAATTTTATCTCAAAAGAGTCTCATATCATACATCTGTACGTAATATATCGAGAGATGCTTCGATCAAGCATGGGATTCCGTTGCGCTCCTTTTGTCGCCTTTTGGTGGCGGTAACGTTCCCGGAAGATTTTCACAGTGTTCATCAGGATTTCAATACACACAGTGAATGTGAAATCCCGTAGCTGTCAAGGTCGCGGTCGATAGATAAGCCACCGTGGATTTATACTTCCGACTTTGTTTCAATCCATTCGCCCGGCATCTATTCGAAGTCTTACGCGAATCATCGGAAGAGAATCACGGTTTTTCATGGAAAGGCAATCGGCGTCGAGATATTTGGTCCCGAAAGTCCCGATGGTCGAAAGTATCGTGGGGCTCAGTGGGCATCCGTCATCGCGGAACAGTAAAACTTGCCGATTCCCCGGGGATGTGGTGCCCGAGTCCGGGAAGCGCCGTCTGAAATTAATGACATCTCGTCGCCAACTTGAAGTGCCTTAATGAAATTACTCGACGAGACCCAAATCCCGGAGGACAGGGAGCCCACATCAGCGACGACACCGCCGCTTCGCGCCGCAGTTTTCGAGCGGCGATGACGTCGAGGGTCTACACCACCGTGTCGTCACCGCGAGAAAAAGCGCCGGTTTTTGAATCGGGGAGTCATGAGTCATGAGTCATGACAGGCATTGCGAATGAGCAGCTGGAACTTGCGGATCGCCTCCAAGTTCTCTTTCCGTTCAACTTGCCCGCCAGCAGAAACAAATACGAACGGTACGCTGAGTAAACATTCGATCTTGCTCCACCTGAAAAAGCCAACCCGATGGCGCAGACGTGTCCTATTGCCTGGCGAGAGCCCGCTTCAGCTGCCGAGCCTGCTGTCGCTGACATTTGCTTGGATCAACAGAGGGCCGTCTCCCCTCCGGGTCCCTTTGCGTTCGCTGTTGCTTTTTACTGTGTTGTGAGTATGTCTTTCTGTCTGTCTCTCTGTCTGCCCGACCGTGCATCTCAGCTACAGTGCGAGCGAAACTTCGCTACGGAGTCGCGATGAGCGCTCCCACCCCAATTAAAACAATTCCCTGCAACTTATTCGGAGCGGACTCTCTTCGAAAACGTTTAATGAAAACCGAGAGGAGAGCTGTCGAAGAGAAGAGGAGCGAGCTCACTCTCACGCAACTGATGATGGATGGAGTGAGGGAGCAGAGGTTTCTTTGTGTACCCCGCTCGTCGGTGCCTAGATAGCGCACGAGCGAATCTACGAGTGAAGCTTTCGTCTCCTCTGATCTCGGATTCCCGGGCAGGAAAATTTTTCGAGCGTCTAGCTCGGCGGAGGCTCAGTTCCATGGAATCAAGAGACCATTAGGAACTTATCTCGGGCCCGAACAGACAGCCGGGAGCGAGACATGGCGGGGCACTTCCCTACCTTCGATAAACGGAATCTTTTTCGGCTCTGTCGTGACTTCCTTCGAGAAATTCGAAGTTCACTTCGATCTGGGAATGAATTCCTCTCTGGTTCATCTTCGTATTCCGGTTTTTGCTTCGTATTCCGTTAATGTTCTACGGTAATTGGTGATTACTCCATGAGCGTTCTCCATATGGAGAGGAAATAAATCCAGTGATGCCGAAGAGGTAGAGCGAACGCGAGGTCGCGTCCATGGGGGGTGTTTGCCGGCGTGTCTCCCTCGCTGTGCGTCTGTATAAACAACGGTGGCTTCGTTCGTCGGTCGGCTCGGAGCGTCTTCATTGCCGTCCGCTCCCTCTGTAAGCATGATCTCGTACACATAGTATGATACAAGCGATCCCTGCGTGGCGGACGCCCATTCTATGCGGGCGCACCGTGGCCTTGCGAACCGAGCCAGCGGGGGTCAATGGAGTCTTTGTGCGGTCGGCCGCTCATTTCCTCGCTTACTCGCTCTCTTGTTACTGCCTCCCATTGCCAAATAGCAGGACCCTGGTTGGTGATTTTTGTGGTCCAATCTCGTGGCAAACCACCGAACGAGATGAGAGGATGACGACGTTCATTCTGCGTTCCGGCTCCGGTCGACGACCGACCGACCGAGCCTGCTCCCATCAGTGGGCCAGAGAGCACGCCGGTCGGGACTCACATTTATTTTGGCGCGAATAGACGTGATCAGCGAGGTCACACTTCTGTTTTTCGCGGAGCGTTCCTCTGAAAGCCCCCCCCCCCTCCCTCAATGTACGATGATCGGACGCGGGTCTCTAGCCCGGCTATCCGGGTGCTCGATAATTGATAACGAACCTCTTTGAATATTGGAATGAGTCGATACGGACGAATGAGGAAAAGACGCAATCCAACCCGGCAACGAGGCTGGAAGGGCATCGCGTCGTTGCCAAACCCTCATCACCGGCCGATTGCACGGAGACCGGAGTCCCTCACAGGCAAGATCCGAGAGCTTCCATTAGTTTGCTATACGTCAGTGTTTTTTATGTCCGGCATGTTTTCCTCCGTTTGCATCGTCTGTCTGGTGCGGGCGAGCCTCCCGCTACCCCATCCCGATATTTGCTCAGCCGGCCTGAAACATGCATTTATTTCTTGCCTGATTGTTCTGTTCCCCGGGTGTTGTTCGGAAAGCATTGCCAAAAATGCCGGCCAAACATTTTTTCCACTCGGATCGTCCTTCCCCAGACCTGCTGGTAAGAGTTGTAATTGAAGCACGATATGGGGAGGGCGGGACTTCTTCTGGGGAACGTTCCGGTCGACGGTGATATCGGTGCCCCGTCGCGAGTCGAGCGTTCTCCGCTTGAAAGTTTCGGAAACTCTGTGAGTTCACGCGCTCGAGTCAGTGACCCGAGGATTCCATCCGCTCGCAAAGTTCATCACGGTCACGGGTCAGCGATCTCGACTGACGGATTTTGGGAATATTCATACGATACAACTAATGAACAGAAGATCCGGGACCGTAAACTTCACTGAGCTTGGGAAACGTCTGCCGTCTCTCGGGGATTCCTCCGAGACTGGAACTCCTCGGGAGCTCACGACGCGACAGCAAAAAAAAATATTCTCAAGTCGGTGTCTAGTCAGTCACAATCACTCAGACGTATTTTTTCCTTCGAGGTAGAAATAGATATTTCCCGAAACAGCGCCGCTGTCTTCGAGCTCGGGTTGACTCGAGCCATCGGCCGAGAAGGATAGCCGAACACGGACCTGGAGGGAAGGATGAATGTGCCCGGATTTATCAGAGCCGGGACCTGGACATCCTTCCAGCGGGCAAGATGAGCCGTCTTGGCATGATTCCGGCCAGCTCATCGAGTGCTCGAGAAACGTTCGCGGCATCGCGCGTGGACGCGGTCCGACACGCAAATAATTAGATCGACGGAAGTGTCCCCGATGGACAGGGATGCGTGTAGAGTCAGAGGGAGAAATATTGGGGGCGTCCGAATTCATGAGGTTGGTGTGCCTCTTGTTCGAAGGCCGAGCCCTTTTTTCTCCTGACAAACAAAGCCGATTTGTCAAGCCCGTCCGTATCCCCTCACTGTTTCCGTGGATGTGAGCCGCGGGGGGAACAATCGGGAATAGGTCGAGACCAAAGACATAGGATCTTGGGATACGGAGACCAAAAACAAAGAGAAGCATACTGTCGCATTTCATGCGGAAAGAGGTAAAGGAATTGCTGTTGCTCCGCGCGGCGGTGACTTCCGACCCGCCTCCTCCCCTGCTTCTTTCATTCGCCTTTCCCGGCGATGCGTTGTGTGGTTTGGTGCTTTGTCGTCTGTTCCCCTACTTGCTAAGGTCGGCTACCTACCACGGGGAGGGATTCCGCTTCGAGTCCAACGATTCATCCCTGGTACCCTTCTCTTTTTCTCCGTTTGTCCATGTGTTGTCTTCACGCAGCGCACGTAGCCGCAGAGAACAAATGCCACACTGAGGCGAGAAGAACATTTCGTTCGCTCACGACAGCCCCTCCAGCAACAAGGAGATCGATGACTTTAGCTCCTGTTAACATCGAACGGGACGGCGGGAGAAACGAACCGACAAACGGGGAGCATGCCCACATGTTGTATAAATGGTGTTGGAATTCGAGGATCGTGACCTTGCAACACGAGCGGACCGCTGCTGAGCTGGGCAGCTGACCGACCTGCTACACGTCGTTAATCCGTTTCCCAGCGACAAAGCTGAAATCGAGAGAATTTATTGGTGTGAACTTTTGCTTTGACGCTCAATCGGCGCGGCATCGGAGTCCCGACAATCAAGGGACCCGAATAATCATTGAGGATCATCGTCGTCCGCGGACGTAATCTAATTAGATCGGATGCCCGAGAGAAAGTTCGCAGAGTGGCCCCACGTTTTCTGTCCCATGGCTAGGGCAATGGAAAAAGTGCGAAAAGCTGATTGACTCACGGGCTGGAGCGTCGCCGACGCTGTCGCCACGGCAGAGCTTCCCTAAAAACGGGACGAGTCTATATCCGATAGAGCATGCGGCAGCGAACGTTCCGCAGCGACGGTAAACATTTTCTGCGCGCTCCAGTGCACATGTACGCGCCCCTTATGCCGACGTGCGAGTCGTTTTCTAGGAGACGGACGCCACAGCCGCCGCGTTCTGGACGGCTAGTAATTCTTTCGTTAGAAACTCGGCTAGGAACGGAGCTCGGGACGAAGAGAGCGAGACATAGGACGCGGCGGTACAGGGAATGAGGGAAGGGGCGGAAACGCCGGACGCGTTTGTTTGAATGGATGAATGGAGTAACGGAACAACTGTCGGAGCGGATCCCCGGAAAGTATTGCGAGTCGTCGCGTCCCGACTCCCTCGTAATACATCATTTCTGCAAATCAATTTGTTGTTTCAGAGACATGCGGTGCGACTAGCGAGCGTCCGAACTTTATTCGGGGAGACCAATATCTTGTATGCTACCATTTTGAGATACGACCAGAGGGATCGAGTTCGGGGGGTCACTCCAGCCTGGGTCGTATTGGGAGGGCGAGGGACGCACGCGCGAGCGTTCAAAGAATCGATTTCGATCGCGAGCGAGCCGGGTCTGAAATCTTTTCTGCTGATGAAACTCTTGTTGTTATTTCATCCGCGGGAAGAATAATCCCTCCTCTGCGTTCGCTGGGTTCAGCTCGATCCAGAAGTCTCGCATCGGCAGTGCGCTGGGACCACGCGGCGGCCACGTATGGGATCAGGGAAGAGGGCCGCGTTGGAAACTCGACCCAATCGTGGAAATTTGGTTTAGTAGCGGGAGATGATTGTCTCGTATACGTCCCCTGCGAAGAAAGAAGAGATTGTCGGGTCGACTCTTCACAGAGGTGCGCCTGTCTTCGGTTCTCCCTTTATCGAGTATAGAGCGTTGCCTATCCAGAGTTCCAGTTCATAATTCAACACGGTAGCAGAGTAGGAAGCAAGCAGAGCAGCTTTGAAGGATCTGGTGTTATTTATTCCACGAGGCTCACGTTACAGCATCTGGTGCGGAGCGCTCTGAGCTCGGATCTCTGAAGCTAGCCTGCCGCTACAATTCTTCCGAGGGAGGGGAAAATTCCCAAGATTCCCGCACCGTGCCCCGCGAGGTCTCCAGTCTGGATACTCTCGACCAGAGTAACCACGGACGACGGGCCGCCGTTGAATCCCCGGGTGCCGGGGATCCACAGTACCGAAAGTGAGACTCCCGTCAGGTTATGGGACCGGGGAAACCGTTTCGGGGGCCCTTTCAGTCAGATGCAAGGTGAAGCTGCGGAGCGCGGGAAAAATATTGGTGAAGGGTCCGAGAATTTGAGAATCAGACACGCATTGATCTGCAGATCCACTCATGGGGGTCTATCTCACCTAGTGAACGCTTGAACCGATCCCTAAACCAAGGATGGCCTACATCTCGCGAGCAAGTCTCTACGGGAACCTTATCCCCATCTTCCTTTAATTCGTAATCACCGAAGACAGTTGAATGACGATCAGACACACCGCTGATGAACCCTCGCTGGAAGGCCCGAGGAGGAATGATTCGATTCCTTATTCGCGACGGAAGCGATTTCCCTTGTAGGAAAACAAGGAAGCGCATACTCGTTTGGGCGTCATGCTCCTTGACTCCGAGCAGGACCCTCGAAGCGAGAATATGGTCGTGCCTTTCGACCCAGCATGTTTTCGAAAAGAGTATATGGTTATTGTGCTCATCGGTGCTCGATGGATGGTCAGACATCCTCGGTGAATTCTCTGAACCAGATCCCCCGGCGTTATCAGGATGACCAGCCTGTTCGCGAATCATATCTGTAGCTGTTTCAGGCCAGACGTTTGTGTCGTGGTCGGTCGAGTGGACATATTACGTCTTCGTGGATAGACGGACAGGCATCGGCGAGCTTTTTGGCCCTCTTCCTTGACCACTGAACAGGTGATCGCCACTAATACGAGACATTTTGTGGAGGAGTCGGACAGACGAACGGAGAGGAATACTTATACAGAAGGGAATAATTCCCAACGAGGTGCTAGTTTGCGTTCGGTGGAATTGAGGCGAATGTGAAGCTATCCAAGTGCCTGGGTGCGAGAAAGCGCAAGAATGACGCAAATAGGACTTGAGACACATTCGAATTCTGTTTTCGGCCTTTGTTCAAATACTTGGGTACTTCCTCAGCTCCACCAGCAGTTCCAGGCTCCTTTTTCGCTTCTTTTTGGACCGTATGCGGAGGTCTTCCATCACGAGAACTTTGGCCCAGAACCTTTCCAAGCTTCTTCGGCTCTCTGCGAGTTTTCGCCCTGAGATCTTCTTTTTTTCGACCGAAGGAGGGAAGAAGACAACCAGTCCCTATCGCGGAGAAATTCGTGTGGCTGCAATAGCTAGTCCCGCGCGGAGGTCCACCGAGGCTACCTAGTTCACCAGATCGAGGGAAGAGTTGGTCCTCAACGCCGTTCAACCGGACCATGCCAAGTCCAGCCCGGAGACCGATATTGCGTCTGAATTTTCCCGGGCCAGGGGCGACTCCGAAGTGCCCATTGGACAATATTTGCCACGTTCCTGCATCATATCGAAGCGAAGAGTGAACGCGGTTCGTTCTTCTAAACGAGCCCGTCGGGGTCGCTCTCTGTTTAAGGAATTTTTCCTCTCCCTCCCCGAGCACGATCTCGTTTCACGGCAAGAGACGAGCAATAACAGTAGCTCCTTCCCCATCGGAGCTCCCGCCGACATAAGCAATGCTCTGAAACTGTCTGACTGTCAGCCTGGCTTGCTCAGTGAGTGAGTGAGTGTTACGTTGCTCCTAGGTCTGACCGCTTCGAACCGCTCGGCTCAATTATCTCTACGGGTAAGCTGGCTATGACGTCATCTCGATTACTCTATCAGCACCGATGGTAAACAATGAGCTGCATGCCCGAACGGTGCATTCGCCGGCGGATGCTTCCTTTTTTCCGCTTTCAATATATGTGTATATAAATAAATGTATGCCCATCGCTCTACCACCCAGTCGCAGCTCCCTTCCTCTGTTAATAAGTGCCACTCAGTTATGCGGTTGGAAAAGTTACATCAAACAGAGGGCGGGCCTAGCTTTCCGTGAGTGTTTAGGCCGCGGCCCAGGTCATCGCCGAACAAATCGCCCGGCCAGCTCAATGGTCTCCACATCTCTCGGCTCAGTACTCTGACGGCCGCTTAGATGGAGCCGTCTCGGAGAAGAGCGCATTCATGAGATCTTGGTGTGAGTTTTGTGAAGTGGGGAATGTCGAGAGACGATTTCGATGGCTGTGATTCTCCAAGTGTGTCCGGCGACGATCGAAAGGAACGCCGGAGGACACACAGTATCAATAGTGCATTCAGTCGATTGCGGTCACATATACCGAACGTTCCCAGGTGAGTTTTTTCGGATCTCTCGAGCTAGATTCGATTACCCATGCTCCCTCGTCGGCTCCATCGTGAGAGGGGAAAATTCGGTGCGGGAGCTTTTCGGTCTAGAGAGCAGAACGGAGCCGTAGCCACTGAAAATGACACTCCCAGGAACTCGAGATCTACTCGAGTTTCTCTCGAGCCACGACATTAAGGCTCGCCCTCCATCGGGTTTGTAGTGGGGGGGGGATTTCCGATCTATCGAAGTTTCTGACCGAAAACATTTCGGATGCCGTCCATAGCATTTCGGACCTCAGTACCACGTTCGGCTGATGAAAACAGCTGACTGAGCACGCCATAGTAAAATACGATCCCTACGAAATGAAGGCTTCGTTTTGTTTTTGTCGTTGCGCACCGTTACTGTGCCGCCGATGAATCATCAGTGTATTCACAGAAATCTTACGGCAAGATTTTCCAGAGACACGAAGCTGTCGAAAATCAAGACCCTGAGACTCGCAATCGCCTACATCTCGTATCTACAAGATGTGCTGACGTCCGGAAAGCCGTGTGTGATTTCGGATGGCTGCGGCTCTGGAATCAGCGATGAAGAAGACGAAAAGGTGACAATCCATGAAATATCAAGTCCTAATGGTGGATGCCGGTCATTGTCATTCGCGGGAATCCAGAAGCTAGATTGTCTCAATTTTTACAGAATGATCCATCCCTCCATCGACTGGCGAGGGGTCGCACGGGCTGGCCGCATCAAGTTTGGGCTTCTGAATTCGCCAGCGACCTATGTCTGAACAAGAGCAGCGACAACCCTCCGTGAAACTCCTTCCGTGCAAGCGATACCGTTCCTCATGATGCTCTCGCATGGGTGGGTGCATTCGGACTTTTCCCCCGAATCGACCAGACTCTCGCTGAAACCGTGTACGAATGAATAGTTTCTGAAGAGTCGCATTGGAGCCTACAAGGAGCAACATCTTTCATCTTTAGCTGGGCGCCGGAACGGAGACATCAATTTCCGAGGTTTACCTCATCGATGAGTCCAAGATAAATTTTGTTCGTCCTGGGCGGAGGACCGCGAACGCAGAAAGCGACGGCTCCCGAGGGCTTGAATCAATAAAAGAATAACGCGACGGACTTGTTGATTCGTTAATGAAATCAGACGAAACGGGAAAACGCGGTCGAAACCCCACTCCACGATTCTGCGTGGATTTTGGAGCGAGTGGAAAGCAGAGCATGGCACGCTCGCGGTCAATTATTGGACCTTCATCCGATTCTCTGAATTTATTTCTGACGATCGAAAAGGGACAACCGAGATACGGAACAGGAATATCTCATCCGAGTTACGCGGCCATCGTTCGAATGCTTGGTGGGCTTAAACATCTCGTGGTAGGAGCCGCGATCGGAGGGGTCTCAGCCAGCCCGAGCAATGGAGGGACAGATCGTCCATCGACGCTCACGACGCGGCCTCATCCTCTCAATCGGACGCGAGCGCTGTAATGAGCGTCGTCTTTTTCCACTCAGGACGGCCCATATTAAAGAGTCGAGGTATCAATTAAGGAATATGCCGTTTTTGTCCTTGTCAAGGACACCGACTATTCTGCTGGCATGGACGAGCCTTGCACTTGACGTGCGGGGTGATCAATTAACAGCAGCGAAATAGACCGAGCGTCGATGAGGATAGTGGTGGTGATGATGTCGCCAGCATTAATGATCGTATGGGTACACAACATTCGTTCACCACAGAGACATCCAAGCTATCGAGAGTTTTGCTACGCTCGAGAGCCCTGATTAGGGACAAAACACGCTTGACCATCGCTCGCTGTGACAGGCTAATGGAAGCGAACTAGGGAGTCAAAGAGTGATCCGATCCGCACATTATGATCAGAGCAGTAAAGTTCGGCCTGATGTATCTCCACGGATACCCATGCATGTATTCCCAGTCTAGTTTGCATGTACTCGTCTGCAGCGGCTGCTCCCTGGATGCCGGGATACAGTATCGCGAGAGCATAGTATTATCAGCCCGGGGGCTAGCGGAATTTTCCACTGGAGAACTTCTCGCTCTTTGATGAAGAAGACCTCGATGGGAAAATCGCCAAATCATTCGGAACCCGCGATTCCCCCACCTGGAGATCCTCCGAGGATTTATTTTCATCGCATTGCGTTTGCACTTCAATTTGCCCACGACAAAGCTCCTATGATCGTACCGTCGATGTTCTGAGCTAGGCTCTATCGTGCAACTATCCTCAACTACCGAGAGAGAGCTTGAGCCACCTATTCGGGGAGAACACAGAGGATCAGAAAGAGATATGGCTCAACTCGGACAGCGTTGTAGCTTGTTTATACCTGGTAAGTATCTCGGCTGCAAAACCTTGGCTTCTTATTTCGATTTTCAGCAGCCAGCCCTCCTCCCGGGACCACGAGTTGCGGTTATGCAGCCGATAAACGGCAGTCTCTGTGGAGTTCGATCAAGAATCCGAATCGATCTGCTCGTGATTACATACCAGGGCATTCTATTGCTAACTAGAGTACTCAGAGCTCGATGGCCCAAGGAACTGATGCAAGTCCTTCGAGGCTGACAATGACGACCGATGAGACGGACAAATTCGATAAACGCAGCCATCATCGTTCGTTAGCCGACTTCTACGGCGCCGGTGTGGGGAAGCGTGGCTCTGGTGGGAGCTCATGGAGCCATGCTCGACGCGAGCAGCCGAATCTGTTCCTTCATCTCGGAGAACTCAATTCAGGTGCTGCACCTCCATTGCGACGGATCCTCAACCCCGAGCGACTTTGTTCCATTTTGTTCGTCATCCTCGTCGTTGATTATTCAGACAGAAGAGTGCTTCGATGAACCTCCGAGAATCGCAGCCGGTAGTGCGGTGTTGATATTCGCCCTTTCCATCGGTTTCCATCACTTGGAACAGTTGCAAATGACGTGCTATCCGTTCGCCGGCGTGTGGTGCCATCTGCATCGCTCGGAGGTGATTTTCGAAAACGTGTCGAAACGATTGTTGGACGTGTGCGACGCGTTCCTCGTCGTACACGAAGTGTTCCCGTTCATCGAGAGCAGAGTCATACTCCGCGAAAACGGTGTCACAGTTTTCACTTTGCAGCCACCGAGCGGCGTGTGTAACAAAGCAGGTGTTCTGAGCTCCGAGAAGCAATTCCATAGGAGTTCCGCCGGTCTGAACTTGTCAGCGACCGGTGTTTTCGTTCCAGCTTACAACGGGCCTCCGGCCAAAGCAAAAACGATCTCGTCGTCTAGAGTCGGGGTCATTCAAGGCTTCGAGTTCAGCATGATGCACGAGGTCGCGCGTTTTCTGAATTTCGATTTCACCGACAGCTTCGAAGGAGTGCATTACGGAATCAAACCGCATCCGATGACCTATTGGAGAGGCTTTGTGTTGAATCGACTCATCTCTCGGAACGTTCACTTCGTGTACGGGGACATCAGCATTCTCCATCCAAGAGAGCTCTACGTGGACTTTACGTACTCGCACGATGTCGATAGGGCGGCGTTTTACGCGAAGCTCGACGTCAAGCCTTTTTCGGGTGGCCAGTTGCTGCACGTGATCGACCATGCTGCGAGCGCGGCGTTTTACGTCTGCGTTCTCGTAGTATCTACGTGGTTTGCCGTTCACAATGTTCTCTATGGGAAGCGTGCAAACTCCACGAATAGTTCAACGGCTTCGTGGTGTTCGTTGCTCCCGTATTTCTTCCTAGAGGTCGTCGAATCGCTTTGGTATTTTGGTAGCTTTATCGTACAGCCTCGCCGGGATATATTCCGGAGTTCTACGACGTGGAAACGTCTCTCATCGACGGTGTCGAGGCCGCAAGCGGAACCGACGAGACCTTGTGACTCATGTGTGGTCGGACCCGAGGATCCGTCAACGTCGCAAGTGGATTCGGATCGGCCCCGGACCGAAATCGATGAATACGGAACGATTTCCGCAAGAAAAGAGAAAATCGTAATGCGGATCCGAACGAGCAAATATCAGATGGTATTCTTGCTGGTAATATGGAATTTTTCGATGCTCATCCTCAGCAAATGTTTCGAATGCAAGCTGATTTCCATGATGACGAAACCGACTGTGCAAGGAAAATGCGACACGTTCCGAGAAATTTCCCAAGTTCTGAAAGCGGTGCCGCGATCTCGAATATACACGGCTCTCAACTTCAAACCCATTTTCGAGAGAGCGATCGCAGATCTCCCGAAAAACAGCCCGGAACACCGTTTGCAATTGTACATGGAAGCTTACGATTCGGAGGAATACGTGAACCACTGGCGTAGGAGTAGAGTAGCGTTCGTTTTCGCCGAGTCCATGCACGCTCGTCGACAGGTGTGGAAGTTTAATATGGGCGATTTCAGCTACGAGAGCAAACAGACTCCATATAACGCGTACCAGTCCATAGTTTTCCAGAAAGGTTGCTTCCTACGTCATGCTGTGAGCGACGTCATACAGAGACTGGTGGAAACAGGTCATGTCATCAAGTTCAAAAGGAGCGGCGGAATCCACCTTGGCAATGAAATTCGTATGCCGTTCAAGGAGAGACCTTTGACGCTGGAATCATTCCAATCCTTGATACTAATAATGACGATCGCTTCCGGCACGAGCGTGGTGTTTCTGCTGGCGGAAATTTTCAACGAGTATCAATTCATAACGCCCACTGTGAATCCGCGGAGGAGCTCGATCGACATGGCGACAGCCGTCAAGTTTCTGCAACAGAAGCATTTCTTGGCCACTCGGGTTACAGACGACAATTTCGAGACCCCGAAAACCGGTAGGACTTCCGCCGATTCCAGATTTATTCCTTGACAGATGGCTATCGCAGAGCTGAATTTCCGAACCGAATCTCGACTGGAGGAGTTGCAAAGACCTAATCTCGCGCCTTCGAGACTTCCGGATGTAAATTGTATTTAATTCGTTCGAAGAGCAAGTGCCGACGGAGTGGTCTCCATTCACTGTCACGACCTTTGAAAGAAATAATTTCGCAGATTCCGACTGATTAGTGAGGTCCGGCTTCCAACAGGATCGTGGTATTCATCGGATTATGCGAGAAGAAATCCCTGTTCGACCGGAATAAAGAACGGACTCGGTATGGGAGCTTCTATGGAGTTCCGGTGATATTCTCATTCAGGCAATCTCTAAATCGGATCATGGAAAATCAGGTCTGAGTGGATTTTCGGAGACTCAGCGAGGACTCGAAGTAGGTAGTTTTCCATAGGGACAAGCCACAGGCGGGCTGTTCATTTAATTATCAGGTAGGCAATGGCATGGTTTCCCCTGTCAAAATGAAAGCCTGGCGTTTTTCATGGCTTTCGTCAGGAAGGCGGTGTTTCCCTCCATCCTGTAGTGGCTCCTCATACAGCGAGACAAGATGTATGCTTCGTGAGCGAGCCTATCGGGGAATTAGAAGAAATGTTCTTGCGGGGCTTCCGCGAAACATGTCGTAAGAGCGTAAAAATAGAGCAGACGTCTTTTCCGCAACAGTAAACCGGGCTCTCACCGTTCGGGGACGAGAAAAGTAATTTCAGGAGTTTGCCGGAGAAGCTCCCCTGAGCCGAGTCGGAGACCAGCTCGCGTTTTCACTCCTGAAAAAATGGTCCTGGCATCTTTCCGCGGTCTTCTCTGGGACGGAGTCATCTGTTCATTCAGCTGGTGCGCCCGGGATGGGAGAGAGCACGAGAGAGGATTCCGGGCAGGGAGCAAGCCTATTCGGTAACAAGGCGACAAAGGCCATCCTAACGAGATCAGACCAACCGAGGGAAAGCCGCGTTCAGTACGTCGCCGCTCGTCGACAGAGCGGCAACTACTTCATGCTCTCGACAAGGACGACAGCGGCGGTGACGACGACGGCGACGACAGCAACGACGACGACGACTTTCACGCATGACGGAGGCGGGAACTGAGCGGGGCAGCAATGTGGAAAACAGTCGGACTTCATCCGCGTGGACGGAAAGGCAATTGTTACTCGGAATTACTCGGAGCCAACCCCACGAGTTCTTCAAGCCTGTGCTCCGGTGAGCCCGTCGATGGAACTTCTAATGGAATTTG